GTAAGGCACCTGTTACTACTAGCGAGGCACTTGTTCCTAGTAGCTTCCTACCCCCCCCCCCACAGTCCAGACAGCGGTCCCACCGAACACAACCGAGGCATTCCGATCCCCGCGGTGCTCGAGACCATCTGCGCTGCGCAGCCGGAGATCATCGGCCTCGAGGCGGGTGCTACGTTCGGGCGCGTTCGGGGTTCCTGGCATCGCTACGTTCGAGGTGGGCCGGTGGAGCCAATTTGGCCGGCAAGGCTCAGTAGATCCACACCATGGTTCTCACAAGTGTACTCCACATGCCCTAAAGCCTCAAGCGGTCCAGGGCAACAAGAACCCACCTTCTTTGGAACAGTTGCCAAGCGCACAGTTGCCCACCTCGCGTCGACCAAGTCCCCCCGCACCGGGTCACACACGGGCGTCGCGACCACGAAAACGTCGACGATACCGCGACCTCCACCGACGCGACCGTGACCAGCGCCCCCTACCCGACCGATGCCGCCGGAGTGGACGCCGCTGCTGAACATGGAGAGGCCACGGCGCCAGTCTCAACAGGACAACTGAGTCCAACAGGACAACTGAGTCCGGGCTGTTTGGTTCCCCCCTTTTGAGACTTCGAGTTGGCGAAGCCGAACTCTTGGCTCATCTCCAAATGACCATTTTGGGCCATCCCCCTCAAACCAGTCAAGGGCACTTCCAGTCGATCGTTTGGCTTTGCTTCGAGTGCGAACGCGGCAGGGCTTGGGCTTGGGAGACCTGCCCAGCTGGGTTCAGAGTCTTCAGAAGCTGAACTCAGCGCCCGGAAGACCCAGATGGTTTGCACCGCGCTTAAACCAGCGTGGTCGGTGCTGGTTTGGCTGGGCTGGTGATCTGAAGAATACTGTATATGGATTTACGAAGGATTCTCGTTTTTTCAATTTCTGAGGGGTTGATCAGCGATTTGGGAGGTATCTGATGTTAGCGGCCTGGCCTTGGGCAGGTGAATGGAAGGATTGGCAGGCGCCCTGATCCATGCGGTTGCTTGTAAACTACAAGGGACCGTTTGAATGCAATGCCCTGAGAGCACAATCGTCTTGCAAAAGTTTCCATTGTAGAATATTCTCACACAATCCATTTTATCAGAGATTGGTTCATCACTGGGTTTGGAACCCTACTCTCCATTTACTAGGGAATTGGGGATCCTCCATCCCAAGACACACCCAGGTGCAATCACTAGGTGGCCGCTCTGGTAGTTCAAGCCCCTCACGATCCAATCACCACTTGCTAGAGTGTCCCAGTATCTCAGCTTGGAGCAAAGATATTTCATGGATCAAAGGAATTGGCACGAAAAGGTCTGCTCTTCCCCTCTTCGGAATTTGCATCCAACTTCCAAGCTTGAACTTCTTTTCCCAGCTTCAACGGCCCGTTCCTTTTTTAAACCGCTTGGGCTCAGGCGAGTCTTGGTGCACGCATGGACGAACCGAGACGTGACTTGGCGAAAGGAAGGGTTCCACGTCCTCAACACCAGCCCCACGTCCTGGTTGTATCCTGTTGTTCACTTCAATGACAGGGTGGCTGGGTAGTTTTGTGAGATGAGTGGGCTTTGGTGAGTGGAGAAGGGCATCCTGCAGTGTGGAGACAGTGCCCTGCAGAAAACGATTCCATCAACAATCGGTCCCGTCACCGACCAAACACGTCTTCTTTGGTCGGGATCCAATGGGGCAGGTTTGTTGCCGAAGGGTCTGAAAAGGCTTTCCATGCGTCGTTTTTTTTGCTGCTGATCTTTTACCAAAACTCTCTTCTCTTCTCTTCTTTTGTTTTTTCCTCTCTCTCTCTATATATACATATATACATATATATGATTAGTTTTTAGCCAGGAATGCAGAGGATTTCTTTCAATCAGCCATAGTGACGTTAGCCATCAGACTGTTCGTCTTAGAGACTGTGAGATTTGTACGTCTGGCGTTTTGCGACAGATCAACTCTCTGGTTTTTGCACAGAGAGTTCCAAATGCCGAATTTTCACTCGGGGGACGACATCCTGTAGCAGTGAACTCGGGGAACTACCACCATTGACAAGGATATGTTCCGCAAAAAAATTGGAGAGAAGGTTCATCCATCTCCGAGGCGAGTCCTGAAATCCACACGAACTCCTGAAATGCATCAACGTGGCAAGCCATCCAACAACAGAAAAGGGGACCTGCTACAGGAAAGCCATCCAACTTGGAAGCAGAGACTTCCATTAGTTCCATCACTTTTCCCTATCCCTCTAAACACAGCTTCACAGCTTTCAAGATTTTCCTGGTCAGGTGATGTCTCAGAATCTTCAGTGGAACCAAACCGCTCTGGTGATCTCCGAAAAGAGTGCAATATTTTTTAAATCTCATCTACCCATTTTTGAGGCCCTCCAGGGCAGGATCTTCGTTGCCACTACTCTGACTATGACTGCTTTTCGGGCACCCCGCCCAAGAAGAACAACCTCCCGCATCATCCGAAGTCGTTCCCTCCTCTTCGGGGCTCGTCGTCCCTCCTCTCACTTCGGGTCACCTCCAGGTCGACTCGGCCACCCACTTCCAGCCGCTGCTGGAGGCACTGAGCTCGAGCTCCGAGCTGAAAGGCCGCCCCGGGGGGCGCCGCCCGGACCGCGGGCACCGCCGCTGTTCGTGCAACGAACGGGAACGAGGAGAAGGAGGGTCCGAAGATCTCCTTTTGGATCGGTTTCAGCTGGTGGCACAAGGCATTCGATGGCGCCCCTTAAGAGGTCGAACCAAAAGGTGGGAGGGTCATCTTGGAAGCACCCGGAGGTCACGTGCCATCGAACCTCTGAAACCACTGTAGGAATCAACTTGGAGAGTCCAATTTTCGGGTTTTATACGATTTTTGTCCGGTTTGGTTATTTTGGGGTGATTAAGTTATTCGCTGGTTCACAAGGGTGTTGGAGGTTGTGGACCAAGAATGAAACGGTTCGGCGGAGCAACGGAGCCGGGTTCCGTTTGGAGCGAGGTGATTCGCTTGGAATTTGCAGAGTTTGGAGCTGGTGATTCAGATAGGCACTTCAAGGATGCTAGTTTGTTTTCTTTTCATGTGTGGAATGCCCACACTACACATGCAACGGCCTATCCATGGTTGGCCGAAAGCGGATGTGGCAGCGCGAGCTGAACGCAGCCTTTTCGATGGGAAAGTTTAGGACCACCAGATCTATTACAATTGCAAGTGTTTCATGACCATCTCTTGCCAAGTGACACGAGTTGCGATGTTTGCGGAGATGCTTCACTCGACTCTCCATTCGCAATGATGGTCTAGTCTATACAGGTTTGTGATAGACAGCTTGGAGCAGAAGAAGACACGCTCGGACCACCACTGGGTTGGTTTCGTTGACCGAACTCTTCCCACCTTCCCCAACTGCTCCGCATCCTCCGTCCGGTCGGTCCACCGGTGTTCTTCGGTCGCAGGTCTGGATTTCCAAAACCTCGCCTGCACGTTCCACGACTTCCCGGCTGAGCGGCTTCCTCGAGCGACGGTGCCCAGAACCCTTCGGAAACCGTAACACTTGCCGCCGGTCTCCCGTTCGACCGACTCAGCCGAATCGGGTGCGAGGAGGTCGTTGGAGGGGGTTTCTCTCATTTCGGAGCATTCTTTTGAACATGGCCTTTTCAGGGCGTTTTTCACTGCCTTCTTGGAGTCGGGGCTCCAACGATCCCCCAAGTCGCTGCATCGGTGTCGAGATCTCTTGCGTGGATCCTAAGGGCTGCATCGCCTTTGGCACCATTGTGTTGCAAAAGGATATGAAGGGCCTCAGCGCGTTTGGAGCTCAGAATGCTCAGGGGCAAGATTGGCAAAACACTCTCAGGAGACACGCGAAAACACAAAAAAGAGAGGACACCCGTGTAGTCTCCGTTTGCATTGGGAGACTAAGAGAGGTTTGGGTGACTAAGAGAAAACTTAGTGAAATTCCACTCATTAGAACTGCATTCAAAAGTCCTCAGATTCTCTCAGAGTTTTTTCTTCTCCTCCCTGGATTTGAGGCGTGGCAGCATGGACTTCCATGACTTCGTGGGGCTTTTCCCGCGCTTTCCACCGCAGGCAGCCCAAGCATCGACCATCGACCATCGAAAAAGGGATGACGCTTTGGTGTTTTGCGGGGGCCAAAGTGGTCCCCCCATGGATGAATTACGGTGAACTCGATGTACAGATTTTTTATGCTTTGGTGACCAAAACTTTGGTGTGAGTGAGAGTGGTGTGAGCACTGCAGGTGATGTGTTTTTATTTTGTGGTGGATTTTCACCATTTTTTTAATACCACCATACGACCATGTCCCATGTGGTTTTCACCATTTGCCAGGTCTCTATCGTGCGAGCCTCTCTGGGAACCAAAGGGCCCGGAATCCCAAAGGGACGCGAAGGGGCGGCGCCGCCCGGATCCATGGCCTGGCGGATCTTCCTCCCGCTTTGCGAGACAGAAAGGCCAGGCTTTCTGGAGGTCTTCTATATCTATTCTGAAGGCATATTTTTGATCTTCAACTCGCAGAATGTTTGGCTTTTGACATAGAATGGAGGAATTCCCATGTGAAGCGAGGAGATCCTCGCAGCGTTCCGGTGAACTTGCAGCGTTTCGGTGGGTTTCGTTCCGTTAGCTCAGAAACGTTAGCTGTTCGAGCCACGTGATGATTTAGGGATTCAAAGCGTGAGGTTTTTGGGCGCCTTTGGAGGATTTCAATGAGGAGAAGTTCTGCTAAAAATCCTCCATGTCCGTTCGGAGTTGGCTCTTTTCAAGCCCATGAAAGCTACGTCCTCAGAAGTCCATCCCACGTCTCCATCACAAACATGTCTCCTCTATCATCGTCTAGTCTTTAACCAGGACCCCCTAACGGGTGGTTAATGGATACCCCTTATAACCTCTAAGGAGCTATAGAATATTAGACATCCCTTAGGGGGCCCTGGAATCAACAAACAAAAAAACCAGCTTTTGCCTTTGATTCTCCTCTTCCCCAGTGCTCCCCCTCGTCCCCGAACCCGGTTCCCGGGACTCTGGTGCCGAACCCTCGTTCCGTCCGCCGGAGGCATTGGAGCGTCTCGGCGCAGGCGATGGCGGAGGTCTTTCGTGCGAAGTTCCCGGGGCTCCAGGCCGCCGGGGGTTCAGCGAGGCGATGGTGGCCGAAGGTGGCGGGTCTTCGGTCGAAGCTGTCGAAGTCTGGAAGAATGTAAGGTCGGTTTCCCCCACCTCCATGCATTTGGAGGGTCAAAGCTCTTCGTATGGGGGGGTGATTGAAATATAATCAAGGATTAGAATCAAAGGATTCTGCATTAGTGGCGACTGGAAGGTCTGCTGTCAATGCTGGTCTCTGCGCCGTTCTGGACATGGTTTTGACATGCCATGGTGGGCTTCTGGGGCGAAAACGCTGGTCCGTTTCGATGGAGCCTTCTCCACTTGATGGCGGTGAAGAGTGCTATTGAACCCACCTTGCCTGCCCCAGTCCGACCAGGATCCCCGAGTGGTTCATTGTTCGAAGTTATGCCTTCTTCCCCAGGTCTTACAGCTGGAGCTCTCGTGCCTGGCTAAGAAACATGAAACGCCGCGACCGAGTCGGACCGCGGACCCGTCTTCACCGCATTCCGGGTTCACCTGGACCTGTGACTGGTGAAGCGGATGGCTGGTGATGTGGCCGATCTGTTTCTCGAGGTCTGTGTCAGTGGGTCTGAGACTGTACTCATTCAGAATCTGGTGGGTTGTGGCTTGAGAGGTTTTTATGGCACAAGTGACCCCCATCTAAAATGGACCCCCTATCTCCATCGGCAGTAGTTTGGTGCTTCAAAAATGGACCTCCATCGAAAAGACGGTCTTGGGGGCCCTGGACCACTCGTGACGACTTACCCCTCGTGTCTTCACCTCGTGTCTTCAGTCCAAGCATTGGACAATGGGCGAAAGATGCTCAGGGCACCCAACGAGAAACACAACCTGTGCACATGACGCCATCTGCGGAACCTGACGAACGCATGTGCGCCAAGGGGATTTTTACTTGTGCCGACGGTGGTGCCGCATCCGTGTAGTGTAGGCTGTTTTGAGGACGAACTGAAAGGTGATTTTGGGGTTGTAGCAAGAAGCTATTAGCAACAAGGGCATCGCTATTAGTAACAGGTGCATCGCTACAAGTAACAAGAAGCAACTAGTCACAGGAACGCCATGGGTTTCACGAACCCTAATCTAATGGGTGATGGTCTGTCCTTGGAATCGGTGACCGCAACCACAGACCGGTCACCAGTAGCCAGAGCGGGTCGCTCCCGAGGCTGCAACATTCGAAGGACAGCAATGATGTGCCCTTCATCGATTTGTCCCGAGCGCTCATTCAATTGGGCGTCAAGGTGGAGGCAAACCCGTTGGATTCGTTGGATTCGTCGAGGCGTCGCGCTTGCGCATTTGCGGCGTGTCGCTGGTTTTGAGACATCTCCATCCCCAGGCTTCACTTATTCTTTTGTTGATGAAACACATGCAAAAATGGACATGAAGAAATATTACATGGAACACACATGAGCATAGTATGAAACATTTTTCCCCAAACAGTTTACTGTTAGGGGTTCTCAATTCTTTCTTAAGATGTGTCCGCCCTTTGTGTCACTGCTGGTGTCCGCCCTTTTCCGCTGGCCATGTAGCATTTCTATTCATTTGTCTCCCTGGTCCGTCGCTGCTGGTGTCCGCCCTTTTCCGCTGGCCATGCAGCATTTCTATGCATTTGTCTCCCAGGTCTTGGTCCGCCCTCTTCCGTTTCTGTGCAGCATTTCTATTTCCCCAAACAGTTTACTGTTAGGGGTTCTCAATGCTTTAAAGAATGGTCGCCTTGGTGCTGGAAGGTCTGGTCGGGTTCCCGGCCGGCTTGTCTCCCACTTCTTTTCACTTGTCTCCCAGTTCTTTTCATTTGTCTCCCAGGCTGGGTGCTTGTGGTCGGGTTCCCGGCTGGCTTGTCTCCC